GTTTGGTGAACTTGAAATTTGAAGTTGAACTTTTATCAATCTCTTGAAGAATATTGCGGTACACGAGATCAATACTTACACATTTAAACAATCTTTCATGAACACTAAGCCTCGCAAATCAACAGTAACTTTGTTTTCATTTTTTGCTAAAAGATTTTCGTTTAATTATATTTTCTTTCAACAGGTGTCATTCCCAAAGTTAGAGATATTAGAGTTAGACTATTTAAACAGTCTGGTTCCGCCGATATGGGATGACAAACCTTCACACAACTCATTTCGCAACTTGAAAACATTGAGTGTGAGTAATTGTGACATTGTGAAATTGGTGCCCCTTCATGTGCTGAAATATTTAAACAACTTGGAAGAACTGGAAGTCAAGTTTTGTGACATGTTGGAGACAGTGTTTTATTTTGAAGATTTAAATGATTATAAAGAGATTGTGTCATCACCGATGGCTGTGCCACTGAAAAAGTTGAGGTTAAAGGATTTGCCAAAATTGAAGAATGTGTTGAGCAATAATCAAAGCCAAGGAGCAATAAACTTGGCATCATCCTTATGCCATCAAAATCAAATTGAAGAAATTATAGCGAGACAGGAAGAAGAGGACAATGAGGACACGGAAATCATTTTCAGCAAATTGGAGCTTTTGGAACTTCATGGATTACCAAGATTGAAGAGATTTTGCAGCCAAAATTATACTTTCAAGTTTCCATTATTACAATCTGTAACCATAACAGAGTGCCCTCGACTCACGGCATTCTGTTCCGGAGCCATTCATGCCCCGCAGCTTCAAAATGTTCGAGTGACCAGTGAATATGGAGAATCTCACATAGATATTTGGATGACTGATCTTAATGCCACCATCCAACACCGGTTTACTATTCAAGAGGTTAGTCCAACATACTGATATTCTTGTTTTTTACTTTTTAAATTATTCCTCATCATCTACAAAATTTAGGTTCAGATAAATATCTAATGTAAATATTAAAGTTTGGATATTCTGTCGTCTACCTAAAAATTATTCTGTCGTCTACCCAAAAATTATACACTTTTCATCAAATTACAAGACTCTGATTTCACACGAAATCTGATAAGCAAATGATGATTAATGGATGTGGCAAACTACTGCAAATAGTGTGATAATGTTTGTAGATCTCTGACTGGAAAGAAATGGGCCTATAAACTGAGTCAAAGAATATTTTTTTAATGTGATTGTTTTTGGGGGGGGTTAATGATGAAAAATATCAGTACTAGAAAAAGATAACCCATCAATTAAGAAAGATTTTATCTACAATAAATATAAGAAATTATTATTTTAAAAAATATTCTGACCTGCTTTATTAAACTACCTTCTTATAATATTAATTTTACCAATAATCTTTGAACAGGTTATTTTCATAGTAAAAAAAGGCCAGCCCTAACTGTGAATTCCAAGGAAATTATGGATTTTTTTTTCTCAATTTAACTTAGACAAAGGAAAGGGGCTGTGAAGTTAATTTAAAGGATTTTTTAAATTTTCAGGTGTGTATGTTATTTCAGGGTGAAATTATGAAAATTTTAGATATTAGCAAAAGACGAGTGATCCATTGAAAAGTTTTAATTCTTGAAAACAATATCTTGATGTAATTTACTAAATCGCCTACTCATTATGGTAATTGTTTTACTAATTATGATTTTACAGGTAATTTCCACAACCAAAAGCATGGCTTTAAATGCGAAGAATATCACAATGATAAGGGATGTCTTTCCTGAAGTGAGAACTCTTTATGTAGAAAGCTTCACAGATGAAGGGGTAACATTTCCCTATAGCTTCCTTGAGAGATTTCCCAAGTTGGATAAGCTTTATGTGGAGCATAGTTCCTTTGGGGAGATATTCCCCTCACAGGATGAGATTCTTGATTTTATGGGAAAAATCCCACTAGTTGAAAAATTACACATTGCCTATTTGGATCAACTCAAGAGCATATGGAAGGATGCTTCTCAGCTACCACCAATTCATCAAGACCTAATAAAATCCCTGGAAGTTGAAAGTTGTCATAGCTTGGTCAAGTTGGCACCATCCTCTGCTTCATTTCAAAATTTGTGGAAGCTGTCTATATCTGGATGTCATCAACTCGTCTATTTGGTGACAAGTTCAACTGCCAAAAGCTTGGTGAGTCTCTTAGGGTTGAAGATAAATGATTGCAAAAAGATGGAGGAAATTGTATTGAATGAGAACAACGAAGATGTAGAAGGTGGAATCACATTCAACCAATTGCGGCGGATCAAACTTACTGATATGCCAAGCTTGAAGATGTTCTCTTCACAGAGTCAAACATTTGAATTCCCTGAATTGAAAGTGATAGAACTAACTGGATGTCTTGAAATGAAGATGTTTTGTCCAGGAGTATTGGAAACACCAGAGTTGTCTAGAGTAAAAATAGAAGAGCATGAGATGAAATGGAAGGATAAAGGGGACCTTAACAAAACAATAGAAATGCTATCCTCAGTAAAGGTATGACATACCCACACTAACAAATATTGTTTCGGAAAATGTGTTGTTAATGACCAAGGAAATAGAAAATTGATTGTATCGTGCTCATGCCAATGACGTCTCTTTTCAAAATTACCTTATATTTTAGGCAGCTAATATTGTGATTTGTTACTGCAGGATAGTGTTAATATATAGAAGGACAAGTCCATCATCCATGTTATCATTCTTTCCAGGTTCGTTACTTTTATGATTTTTCTGCTTATCGGCTGTGTTTTTTCCTAGTGGTATATGATATCAATAAAAGCCTCATATATGAGGGGGACAAGCTTGAAAATAAAAAACTTGCATCTCTTTTTTTCTCCCTATACGCCAAATTTTTTCTTTTTCTTAAATTATTTGTATGTTTTTGTTATATTTGTCTGTGCTTTACTATCACTAAAAGATATGAGTTGCTTGTTGAAGTTTATTTCAATTTCTTTTCCAATAGTAGTTACTATAATATCAATATTAAAGGATGAAACAGAGGAGCCATCTTTTTGTGAGTGAGTGTTTTTTTTTTTAACTTTTTTATAAATTTTTTCTGTTTCTGTACATTCTCTCTGTATTGTATCGGTTGAGTTAGTGAATCACTTTTGCTTATATTAAAGAGATCAACTGTGATTAAGAAGAAGAAAAACGGCTGGCATATTTCAAAAATGATGAGTTTGATAATTAGATTCCCCCAACTATTTAACCCAATTTTTCAACTAAATATGATATATATTTACAAAACAGAATGATAAAACAGAAAGGCTGTTTGTTTTTGTTTTTTTTATTTTTTTTTCTCAAAATTTTTTTATAAAGTTTTTTTTTAAAACAACTTTTGGAACCAAAAAAAAATCTGCTTGGTTAATTGTTTCAAAAATCTACATTTGAAAATAAATATATTGAGACTGGAAAGTGAAGTTTCAATGAGAACTCAAGTTTTTAAATAGAGAAAAAGACATCAAGTAGAGAAAAAAAAAGGTTTTCCCATTTTTCCAAACAAAAAAAAAGGAAATGTGAAAACAAAAACAAGAAAATAATTAAAAGTTGTTTTCGTTTTTGAGTTTTTACAAATATCTGTTTTTTGGTTTTTAAAAACACTTAATTAACAACAAATTACAAAACAAGCCTTGTTATTTTTTTTTTAATTTTAAAAACAAAAAACAGTTTTCAAAGTAAGAAAACAAATAAGGGTTTTTGACGCATTGACTACAAAATGATTTATATTTGATAACATGAATATTTGTAGAATACACTCAATAGTATTTTTCGTTTCCTTGCTTGATTAATGCAGGTGGCTAATCCGAGGTGTGGACTACAAAATCATTGACTACAAGCTGATGAATATGGACAGATGTTTGTGCTGTGATGCTTTTGTTGAATTCTCAATCATTTGATATATGAGACTCTCTTTTTATCATAAACAACTGGGTGATGCATGACAAAACTCTACCCAAAGTGTGGTTTGTTTTCATTAATGTACAAAAGACTCAAAAATTGGTGTGTTGTGATTATAAAGCTTTCATTCAACATCACTGTGGTGCGCTCAATTGTGTTATTTAGATTATTAATTAGTTCAATGAGATTGGTCACAATTGACCATGAAGTTCTTGATAGTTGTTTGAAACAATATTCATTTGGCACAAAAAACAATAAATGAAATTAAATATAAGGTTTATGTCTATCATTTACGTTGTGTAATTGATTGGGACTTAAACTGTGAGCAGGCTAGATAAGAGATAAGTTATTTTTTCACCTCAATTTAAGTTATTTTTTCACCCGAATTTAGAAATAAGATTTAAATCATGCCAATCTATCTATTACGGTCCGAATTTCAAAAGATAATGGTAAGCAATAATGAAGAAAACTTTATTAGGTCAAATATTAAACTGTTAGTTAGAATGAATGAAATACCTAACATTTACATTCACTGTATTTTACTTTCTTGATATTAGTTAACAAAATTACTCTTGATGCGCTTTATTTTATCTTTCGGTTTACTTGCCTATGCCATTGGCACCATTCACACTGACAACAGCGAGAGAAGAGCATGCTTTCTCGCATGCATTAAGAATTATCCCCCAAAAAAAAAAAAAGCTCATAGATATACCACCATAACGCCATTCGGTGGTGCATTTTGTAATGCCAATTCTAACCAAAATAAAACCAACCATTTAGCTGACTGAAACCCTACAGCAAGAATGACCTTTGCCATACCATAGGTGAACTAGGTTGCTTTATAGCCTGCAATGGGTACATTGATCCTTGGAACACCAGTTACAATTCCTGGTTGTGCTGCCCCAGAGGCAAATTCAACTTTCCGTGCTTTCTTCTCCTCTTGCTCTTTCCTGTCACTTTGATGTCTCATATCTGCCTCTATTTGTGGCAATTAGAAGACATGCGAAAGAGGAGTCATATCAGCAAAAATAAATCAACACAAACAGTCAAAAAAGAATAATAAACCCTAAAATTCGAAAGGAATTTACTTGTAGGTCTTCAGAGTATTTAATTTTGGACAGTGGTAGGAGAAATCTATCCAATGGATCTGCAAATTTGTGCTTTCTACACCATCTGATCAGGCCATAGCATCAACTTGCATAGTATGAGATGGCTCAGAAAACTGAAGAGTGTTGAACACATCCTGATAATTCTCCTTGTGGCAAATCACGTACAAAACCATGTTCTAGAAAGTTAATTTATGTAAGTGCAAATTCTGTAGCAATAGTGATTAATGACCCACTCTATAAAATCTAATTTCCTATTTTGAAGAATTTGTTCAAGAAATTGAATACCGTGCTGGAAAATGGAAAAGGGAGTTAATTTTATTTTGCAAGTCTATTGATAAAAGAAAAGGAAAGGTAAAAACCAATATTCAAACAACATTCAAACCTTCAAATATGGAAATGTATGCACCATGGCTTGCAACTGCATACAGCATGTTAGCATAAAGAACAAATGCTAATCACTTAATCAGCTTAGCCCACAAGCACGCAGAGGCTGATATTCAAACAACTTAGCCAGCTTTTCATTTAATTGCATTGATTGTAAAGTTAATAGCACAAGTCTGGCGCCTTTAGATGTGTTGAGAATTTCAGATACTACTTTGATAATATACAATATGCTTAATTTTTATAGACAATGAGATTTCAACAAGCAAGAACATCAAAGTTCAAAATGTTGCCGACACAATAACATCCGACAATACAGTTTGAAGTTCAAACTATTCAAAAGCACATTGTTCCAATAAATCAGACGAGAAGAATAAAATCGTCAAACAAGTACCGGCTCTCTCAATTTATGAACACAAAGCTCTATGTTTTTTTTTTTTTTGCTAAAACATAGGTATTCTCCTATTAGAGGCAATCCTATTCGAGACACTGTCAGGTACTAAATGTGGGCACTTCTTCCAGTGGGAATTCGAATCTTGGTTCACCACGTTGTGGGGGACTAGCCCATTCTACTAGACCCAACCCCTGTTGGTAAGCTCTGTATTTTGACCGAGCATGAAAGACCCAAGACTTAGGCCCAAAAATGAAGTAGTTGTCCCAAGTCTTTTAAAGTAAACAGAGTATTGAGTGGGTTGATGATCAAGTTCAGTAGCCTTGATGAATCTCCAGTCACAATAATGCCATCCACATAGATGTAAGGATATGCTTTACACAGCAAACAAACATAATGAGGAAATTTTGAACTCCAATCCCTCTGGTTGCCTCGTCAAGACACGTTCTTGTAGAACTCAATTTAAAAAGGCATTATTAATATCCATCTGCCAAATTTGCCGTCCAAAAGTAACATCAATAGCAAGCACAACCCTCAGTGAAGATGTTTTCAAGAGTGGAATAAATGTTTCATCAAATTCAACTACATTGCCTTGTCCTGATTATCGTACAAGTAACCATGTTTTTTTTTTTTTAATAGAGCATTATATTCGGCCTCTTTCGTAGGTTGTCTCCACTCGTCTGATGTGAGAGCTTCTTAAATGCTGCGTGGCTCTTTAGATGCATCTATTTCACCAATCATGTATATTTTCCGTTGGTTATTTAGGATTTTGAGCTGTATTATTTAAATTTTCTACTTGTTGTTTTGTTATTTACCGCACTAAAGATGAGACAGTATCAACATTGGAGTGACCATTTTAATTTCTTTATCATTGAAAGGGCTATTGAATTCATCATTTGTGAGGCAAGGACAAAGTACATGTCTTGAGAAACACCTTGGGATGAACCAGTTCATCAGGTACAGCTTTTTTGGGTTGTCTAGTTAAAAACCAACGAAACAGAAAGTTGATTATTTGGTTTTATACTTTTGCCAATGTCATCTTTATTAGTCCTTCCAAAATTGCTTTCCCAGAATCTCACCAATTAATATTATGATTTGGTGGCATTATAGGATGGAATGAGTTTATGGAATACTGAGTCCATCATCTGGATTGTATATCATGTTCAGATTCTGCTAAAATGCTTTTGTCTTTTCTTAAAGAAATCACCACAACACAACGCAATTATGCCTCGTCAACTTGCCAACATTCCAATCAAATCCCAATGTGAAAAGATAATTAGTTAACCAAGAAGAATACAAGTTAGAGAAAGCGTGTCTCTCATCACACTAGTGCTCTAAGCTTTATTTCTCTCAAATTCACTTATCTAATTACTTTATCATAAGGTTGTCAAAGGTGTTTTTACCTATTTTGGGTTTCCATTTTTCTCCCCAACACTATAACTCCAGGGCTCCAACTTTTTAACCAAATTTTTTTGCCCGATGTACCAAGCACAAAGTACATCACTTAAACGGGAAAAAAAAAGAGAGATTATACTACCATATCTAATAACATGGATGCCAGGAAAACAATAAATGTTCAGTATTAAGCATTCAGCGCTCATATATTTGTAAAAGAAAATGATCCCCCCCCCCCCCGGGTTTCTCTGAATTTTCACTTTACCATCACTTTATATTTATATTAGTCAATCATAAAATCTATAGCTGGTTCTAATTCTAAGTTCATG